CAATTTCAATCTCCACCAAAGGGATAAAGGCTAATTAGAGACCTATTCAGCAAGAGTTATGGCAAAATGAATAAAGAAGAACATACCTTCTAAAAATCACATCCAATCGACTGATCTCTCAAGACAGCTGCGAGACTGAAGATAAACTATCTGCATTTATCAATGAAACAATAAGGATTTTATCTGACTTATCATGGTTTTCATGTTTATTCAGCTCACCATTATTTTTAAAGTTGGCTTCATCTAAAAAAATAATAAATCAAAAGAAATTTGAATTTTGTTGGATTTTTCATCCAACCATCTTTTAGACCATCAGATGTGATAGCTTGTATGATTGTTATGTAATAGGGATGATATCTTTGATCGTGTAAAATCCTCAAAGTTGTCAATCTATTGCCTTTTACTCTGGCGACTGATAATGTGATTATTAAGATACACGATGGTCAAAATAACAAGCACGTGAATATGGTTTTGATATGAATATCGTAAATATGAATTCTGTGGTGACGCATCTGTCGACCTTGTTGAGCCTTTCGGTGAATGTTCCTGATGATAGTATGGATCAGGTATCGTTAGTAAGGAAATCTGCGCTGGTAGAGTCTAGCAACTTGGCGATAATTATCTTGGCTTTCACTAGGGATTAAAAGTATATCAACTCTCTCCTGAGCAATGTAGTCTGCTGTATAAAAATTCAATTTTTTTTTCATAGAAAATAATAAAACAAAACACACAGTTACTTCATACTTACCTCATTAATTGCTCAAAAAAATCATAAGTGAAAATTATTTTTGTTGCATGTCGTTTGTATTGAGTACGCTTAGTAAAGTGCAGTAACTTTAGTCTAAAATATTATTTACAAAATCTTACTTTTTTCATTCAGATCATAGGAGTGGAAAGATTAAGAAGAAAATAAAATTGACGTCTACATAACCTTGGAGGGTTATTTGGAATTTGACTATGTTACCTCATTTGAACGTAGAATTTTCCGCTCTTTCCGAATTCGGGATAAAAAATAGTGGTTCCTATTTGAAAAAGCAAAATTGACCTTGAAATAACCTTGAACATGATCTTCATGGTCACGGGTAAGGTGAATATAATTATGACTAGTTACGAATACTATAAAAATTGAGTATTTATTGGATTTAGTAGCTAAATTATATTCTCTTATTAGGTGTGTACTTAACCAATCAATAAATTTATACTAAATCTAAAAATAGCCGTTGGTAATAATAGAATTATCGACTACTCATTTCTTGGTATAGTAGTACTATGGCGGTCGATCAATAATGATGGGTATAGTATAAGTATGAGTTCATTGAATTGCTACAATTTAACGCCTTAAAAACATTGAGTTGTAAGTATTTATTTTTTTTTAATCATACAATCATGCTAAATTTACAGAGCACGAAACGAAAATAAAAATATGAAATAATTGAACGCTCAGTGGTAAATTGCAGCGTCAGTGGTGCGAATTATAGCATTGGTAATACAGCAATTCGTAAATGTCTTTCTCTCGGCCCGTAACTAGTCTACAAGTATAAGCGATGATGGCAAAACCAGCCAAGAAGTGGATAAAAATGTACGAGTAAGTCGATTAAATACTCGGCTGGCACTTGTGGAACGTCTAGTAGTAGAAATGGGAAAGTTCTCGCAGGATATGCAGTAAAGCTCTTTCGATTGTACGCGGCTGCATGTACGCGCACCTTGCATTACGCGATTAACCAAACACCCAGGCTTGGCTCGTGTTACGTAAAATAATAGCAGGCTGCGCACCGTCTGTTATCGCCCGACGAACCGCGTGAAAAAATGTAATCTTTGCGAAAGTGCGATCATGAGTCTTTTACACGCGTGGGTTTGTCCGTATAAGTTAAAGTATAGTGTTCTAATTGAGCATGGCGATATATCGCGTAATTAAAAAAAAAAAACACTCATAATGAGCACGCGTTGTACTCCTAAAATGATTTAGTTTAACAAATAGTTTTTTATTTTTATTGTTGCCCAAGTAATCAAAACTATTTGACTGATTGGCGTGAACATCTGCTGCCCTGCTCCAAAAGCTATGCGAGTTGCAATCAAGAGAAAACAAGCAATTGCAGTAATATGTACTTTATTCGTTCCAATTATTCTCCTCCCTGTAAGGCGTACAGTACATTTTTCAAGAATTATTATTTTTAATTATACTCATTACAAAGAAGTTACACCACCCGGGAGAAAGAACATCAATTTGAGTGCGCAGGTAATCGATTCTCGTTTTCTCGTTACTCCATCGAAACTGCACCTGTATACCGAAGCATAGTGAAGCCGTCATCTTTTCGATGCTGCAGCCCTACTTTCCTCGATTCCCTCATCGAGGCATCACAGAAAGAAAAAAACAAATCGCTGGCGTTCTCGAGCTACTTTCACTTTTCCCTTCTGCATCGACTCGACGTGACCCCGAGCATCCGATTGCACTGGCCCTTGTGCACATAATCGTACTGCCACAAACGCGATTCGCATAATTATAACCGGTTGCATCAACAAAACGACGCTCTACTGATTCTTCGTGACTATTATTTGACCGGCTGCGAGATCCCGGAATTGGACGAGAGAGGACTGGTGGAGAGAAATAATAGGAAAGCAATCATTACGGATTTCTGAATGAACAACCTGTAGGAAAAGTTCTTATAGACACGCAAAGGGGAAAGGCTCGGGTAACTCGAGTTCATTCTCTAATGACTGCTAATGTTCAGTCACCTTGATCTTCTAATTAGAAAGACTTTGCTTTATAAAATTCCTTCTGATTCAATCCCACGCCAAAAGATCTTGGAGAAAATGTGCGCTGTTCCAAACATTTTCAACATTCGATTATTTGTGACTCTACCCTGACATCTATTTTCTTCATCACAATCAATGAGATCTACAGTTAAGATTACTCGAAATAACTAACATATATATGTTCTTTGCGTTGGCGTTGTTTGTCATAATTCACGGTAAATCATTAAATTAGCACGTAAGTACAGTCACTTTCACATTGCTGAGACACTTTTCGCAAACACAAATGTTTTGCTTAACTGTCAGGCACGCAAAGCGTATGTTTGTAGTAAGGTCTCTTGGTATCTTGAAATATATAGGTGGCTATGCGAGCAAAGCCTTGAAATTAAAGCATGCAGTTCAACTTGAGACAAGTGATTACCTTGCGTAAGTTTTTTGGGTTAAAGAAAAATGGAAAAGAAAGTAACGACGGTAATGCTTTATACCTGCGTGGACCGTTCGTAAAAGTAACAACATGAGAAAAATTTCATAATGCTCACCTGCCAAAGATCATTTTCATAACAACTTCCTAATACCGGTAGAAAGGCATATTTTTGATTGGAAATCGATGAATCGTAAGAGCGAGTCAATCAAACAACTTTTTTTTAAATTTTACTGTATAACATATCGACAAATTTTATTCAGTGACGTTTTATAATATTATATACTGACTCATCATTTTTGTACATAATATCATGGAACAAGGTATTCTTAATGTATATCCAGTAAGAACTAATGATCGGATCATTGAAGAAATATATTAATAATGTTTATAATTATTTTTTTAATTTTCATTGCATAAAGCAGTAAATTGTCATCAAAGAGAACCTGCTCTATATTGATTTAAAAATCTTTACATAACACATCGGTCACTGTTATTTTTATGCAATGTTTGTAATAAGAAAAGTCAAGATAAAACGCTTTACATAGCTTTCAAATACCTTACATAATTGTACACCTTCCTGATAGATTTCGTATAGGATAACCGTCGGTCTTTATACTCGGTTGATATTGTTTCGAAAACATAGAGTGATAGTAAAACAAGCTGAAAAAATATGGTAGGATCTATTGATCTAAGAAAGGTTAGAAAGTTTTTGCTGATGTTGATCTACACATTTATTGTGTATATCTGTATTGAGATGAGTTCTAAAATTATTTGTTGTATAGTATTATTTTTAGCATTGATACAAAATGAACTAAAATAATAAGTATCAATTTGGAAAGAAGTTTCTTGTTTCACGAATACTTTAAGAAAAAGACTTTTTAAAGTACTTTTTGAAATTTTTCATGAAAACGCAACAAAAGCATTTATTTTGAGCGATTGGTATGACTCAAGTTCCCATTCAAAAGCATTGAGGACACAGATATCTATATAATGTCATTGTAACAATGTATTCAATGTGTTCATACATTCTTAGAAACTAGTTAAAAATAAGCTATGGTTGCGGCTTATTTAAGATTGAATTTTTAAATACTTTATCGTCAGGTGGAATATATTATTCAAAAAATAAGTTTCCAATGGAAATTATATAATAGCTTGAAGTTCCACTTTCGATACACTATACACAAGTGTAAATCGATTGAAAGCTTTCATCATACTCGGAAATATGCAAGAACCCTAGACACGTCACATTTTTCAATTATAAATTTAATCTTTCTTAATGGGATATTACTCTTAAGATTGCGACAAAAAGCGTAGGTCTTTAATCATCAAATGAACTCATAGAGAGATATCTTGATGATAAAAATCCGATAGATTTTTCAAAGTGCTAGATTGCACAATCGTACCTCTAAGCTAACCAAGGAACAAAAGAAAAAAAAAACTGAAAAAAAATTCCAATATCTCTGGTCAGCACCTGCGTATATGTGTCCAGAATAGTACTCAAGCTTTGAGATTTATAGTATATATGGCGTGATCTGTTCTTTTGCACAGCTCGAAAAGCCGCGACTCGGGTCATCTGGCATTTTCAAAGTCGAGCTTATTCGTGCGCACATAGATATACAATGTAGGTATATATAGCGTTGGTAGCGGCTGTGGCTGCGGCGGCGGCGGCGGTGGTGGCAGCGCCAGGATCGTGAGGTGGTGGTCGGGCCCATGGGCGGGCCGCCGCTCCCAATGGGGACCTATATAAGTCGTACTGCTTGCCGCGTGAGGCGATCTTTATAAACACAATCGCCATCGACTCCTCCACTCGACTGACACTGCAACAATGCGCATACTAGTGAGTCCACGTTGACTACTCTTCTTTCTTTTCACTCCTTTTTTTTACTGTTTCTTGTTTTATTGGGTTTCATTCAATGCTGTTTTCGTGTGTTGGTCTTTCTGATTTTGCTCGAGGTGAAGAAAGCGCGCATTAATTTATCGGCTTTGGTATTTATTAGAATGTTCTAGGCAATAGTTCAACTGACGAAATAACAACAACAAAAAAACTTATTGGTGATCTGATAAAGTGAAGTGCTGTGTTCTTTTTCTGACTTTGAGAAATTTATTGGTTGAAGGTTCTTATTGCGAAATTCGAAGACTATCGCGATATGTAATTGTGAAAAAGTCTTATTCAATTGTATTTTTAAACATTTCATAGTATAAAAACATTTATTGTTCTTTTAAAGATACAATTTCGATATTTTTAAATATATCCAAAATAAATTGAAGTTTCTCTGTTTTCATAAGCTACATTTCTAACTAATAATTAATTAGAAGTTCACGGTACTGTATCAGCTTCTCAAACATCAGTGATAAGTCGAAAGTAACGGGTTCCGTTAATCTATCACGTTGAAAATCAAACGTGTACTAATGATTGGTGCGCTTGGAACATTGGAAGTTTTTTACAAGTCCGACAAAGGTTGTCGATCAGGTTGAAATTTAATCGATCAGTCGTAAAATGCAGGTAGTGTTGTGGTGTAGCTAACGCCAGCGACAGGACTAATTTCTGTAAAGGCATAGATAACAAATTATCGTTAAAGTCGGATGGCGAATCGGGAATGCCAATCATGTAATGGGCACGCAAGTCTGTTCGTATACGTTACGCAACAACTTTCGAAAGTGTCTGCGAGATACACGCCCTCGTCTGGACTCTTACATAGAGGGATGAATGACCATAATTTTTTTGTTTTTCAGTTGTTGGCTGCTTCATTCTGTGTCGGCGTGACGTTCGGCCAATCACAATACCCAACCACAACGCCGGTACCGATTTTGAAACAGATAAACAGGTGAGTGAGAGAGAGAGAGAAAGAGAGAGAGAGAGAGACCGAAAGAATAGTGTCCACTGTAATACTGTAATACGCGTAATACGCGATCTGTCTCTGTTATTAGTTTTAGAGCATGGCTAATTTCTCTGCTGTCCATTGTTCAACATCGGGACAAAGCGCGAAATTACGTAGACACTTGTGTTAACTATGTTTGTCGTCGGTGAAATGCTTAATTTTTTGTTTGCTTCGGCTCGGGAAGCTTTTTACGACTATACACCATAGAACATAAATGTCCGTTGTATAATAGTATAAATACCGCGTTAAAAATCTTTTTTTGACTACTTTCAAACTTACATTGTTTGAATTCAAGCCATCAAAATGTTGATTATCATTACTTTTGATTTTCATATTATGTAGTCGACACTTATTAGTCGGATATCTGTTTCATTTTAAGTACGTTTTATTTACTTTATAGTTGAACATATTAAACATATCTTATTACCATTTTTGATTCCTTCATTCAATATAATCAGATATTTATTTATTTTAATGATTGCTTAAGAAACAATGTAAAATTTGAACACCACCAGAAAACTTGCTAGTTGTAAACTAACAAGATATGTTGCACAACTCACAAACGATCGATTCTAACGTAAAATACGAAACGTACAATTAATCATCGTTAATACTAACTATGCTACAGAAACTAGCTAATCGAATTTTGTATTTTACAAACTTCTTGTTGTAACTTTAATGATATGTGAAAAATAAAAAAAATGTTTCGTTATTTGTAAGATCTAATAATATATAGTAAACATCGTCGAAAATACATTAGCTTCAAATTTTTATCGATTGATATCAACCTTGAGTGTAATTTCAAGAAATGTTCGCGCATAACAACAACGGATATATTTCGGTGAAAGTTGTCGTTGGCTCCTTTGAATGAGCAATATTCTGTTTTGTTTCTCATCCAATTCATTCGTTAAATAACTGGTAAGCCTAGAACAAAAAGGAAGTATCTGAAAGTATTTTTTTCGCTTTCCCACAGACACAATGAAGATGGCAGCTACAGCTACGGCTTCGAGGCGGCTGACGGAAGTTACAAGATCGAGTCTAAATATCCGAACGGCGAGGTCCACGGAAAATACGGCTTTGTCGACGACACTGGTAATGTGCGTGAGATAGAGTATGGAGCGTCGCGTCGTGGTTTCGAACCCACGGGTACGGGTATCAATGTGCCCCCACCCACGATCAACGGTAACAGCATCGCTGAAGGCAAGGACGAGGACGACGGTCAGTACCGCGAGGACCCTTCAATTTATTACACTGATCCAAGGTACACTAATGGTGAGAGGTACGACCCTGTGCCCAAAGTGCCCATATACAATCATCAACTGCAGCAACGTCCATTGCCTTATGGTCCTGATACTCCAAGGTAATAATTAACTTGAGTTCATTCACGTAAAAAATATTATTTATATTTCTTTGATTAAAAATTTTTATTTGTCTGCAAAAACCGTGGCGAATGATCAAAGTTTCCAGAAGTTAAACAGCATATAACGGTAGATAATCAATTGATGTTTCGTAATCGCCAATTAACGATTACGATGATAGTCTGCTTCTTTCTTTGAAACAAAAAAGAAGATATAATTTAGGTACATTCGTGAGGAAAACTAAAACTAATTTGTTCTCCTGAAATGGTTACAAGCTTCAGAGGATTTCAGTGGTCTCTAAATAAGAATGTTTACCTTTCCGTGTTACTGCATTTATTTTTCTACTGAATAAAATTACCTCATCGGTTGTATACTTATCGAGTCACCATTATCATCTTTGACTATTTGAATAATAAAATACAGAATTCTATTTGTGTTTCGAAATTTAAATAGCATGAGCCGTTGTTTCAAAATTGATCAATAAAATATTATAGATCGTTAATTTTGCGAAATAACAATTTATTACATTTATTGAAAGAAAACATTAATATTTCTTAAAGTCACACATCAACGAAATAACGTGAGTAGCCATTTCGAAGGTATGTCGCAAAATATAAAAGATCTTATTACGAAGTGAACGTAAAAGATACAAATGAACGGATGTGAACAGGTGAACTCCTCAACGTTCAATATATTCTCACTTTTCTTACATAATCTTTTGAGCCGTATAAGTTAAAAATGGAGCGAAGTCGAAAATTGCCCAACATAACAAAAGTCGCGCTATATTGCTCGCTAATACCACGATCTAAGCCCTTACGAAAATTCGCGCAAGCGATAAATGCACTTGGAAAGTATCTGCATTGAACAGACAGCGACTGAATGTCAAAGCAGTGAGTGCGCGAACTCCGTGGGAATCCGCGATTAGCCACTCTCGCCGGCGAGCAACGCTCTCACTTGCGCTTCTCCTCTTGGATTCACCGGCGGAGATAGGTAAATTTGTTTGGCTGGCACGTTCCTCGCCAACAGTGCGCGGCGCACTTTGTACGAGTCGCGCATCAGCTATGGATAAAGCAGCTTTACTTTCTCGTACATTTTCTAAATTTCAAAATGCACAAAACGAGACTTTTACTTTTCTACGAATCGTAGCTGACATATATATTATAAATGACTCGAAATGGTATTCTCTCTTTCGTATTGTAAATCACCTTATGAATGATGAATTATACCTACGTGTGGTAGGCAACGATAGAACAAAAAATATTTTTTCTGTTCTACTATTAATCAACTTATCAATTTTTCAGCCGAGCCATTGCATCAACTTACCGCCAACCAGCACCGGCCCCAGTACCAGCTCCAGCCCCCACTCCTGCCGCTCAATACCAAATCCAGTACCAACCACCGTACCAAGCCCAACAATATCGACCCCAGTACCAGCCACAGTATCAACCGCAGTACCAGCAACCTCAGTATCAACCAGCTCAGTACCAGACTCAAGAATACCGACCTCAATACAAAACACTCGCTCAACGTCAGCTGCCGACAGCTCCTCAATACAGTCAGCCAGCAATAGCGTACAATCCAATCCAATATCGTGGTCATTCTGCGTCACCTATCAACCCCAGCTCTGGATCGTACAGCGTAAATTACAAGCGATGAAACAGACGCGACATTCCCCGTACTTTACTTCTAAACTTCCCGGTTCTTTGACGACAAGAAAATAACGATTTTTTTTTATACTTTTGTACATAGACTTCGATTATTTAACTGGCCTGATATTTTCAAAGGTACCATTAATTGACGTAACTTATTTTTGCTGTTACAAAGGTGTCACTGAATTTTTCAATGGTTTTAATGAAATTGGAAGCTCTTACGTAAACGATATTGTACCTTTGTTGAGTCGCTAATAGATCTAAGCCTTCGTATAAATCATTGGCCATTCGAAATATGTTATACTTTATGATCCAGTTTGAAAATTCTTTTCGACTCGTATATATTACGAAGAGCGTGATTAATGTCACAATTACTCTGTCACATTATGCTACGTGAGTATGCAAATTACCAATACGCACCACGGATCTTAGATGATTGTTTTATCACTAGGCTATCACGTGTTTTTTTATTCATTTAATTACAAAAAAAAAGTAACTGGCGTGAGCATGCCAGCATGCCATGATAGCCAAAATATTATACGTAAATTGGCACCTGAATAGAGAGAATCGCAGTCATACGTACTAAACAAATTTTCTAATGGTTGTGTAAACTTTACCTCTCGGGTGCGGTTCTAAAATCGTTAAAGTGCGCGATGAACTTTAAAAAGCGTCTTGCTTGCGTTCAAGGTCTGCTGCTCGTTCTCTCGTTTCTAAAGTTCACTCGGCCGAGATTATGCATATACCATCATTGATATATATACATTTACGTTTGTATCTCTGTAAGTCTGTATCACACTACCTCACCGATCACGAAATGAAATCCCAATAAAAAACCAACTTTTCCTCTATAATGCGGTGCTTCAATGTTTTCAACACATGTAACGCAATACAACGTAGAAACGTGCTTTGCCCGTTGTCGATTATATAGAATGTTAAGAAAGATGATATTCTCGAATTCCTGGCCTCTTCATTACATTTGATAGGCTTTCCTTGTCGATTTTTTTCACATGAAATTTCTGATGCTTTCTCACGTAAATCCTTATGCTTCGGAATACTTTACTATCCCTTTTGCAATTCTAGGTGCATCATTGGTTGACATCTGTTTCGTAATATCCTTGAACTAAAATTTTTTTTCTAATGGAATTATACGGTAGACACAGGAAAAAAATCAGATTACTACGCAAACAGTTAAAATAGCGAATTCCATAAATGCTGAGTAAATAATGGCTCAAATGAATGGTAGAATATTGATAGTTGCAATGATATGGAAACGTCTATTGCACACTAAAGCAATCGCAAAGAATTGGAAACGGAGTTCGAAGATTGATTAGGACATACATAGTTAAAATAATCGTGGAACGACCTTGCGCGGCCGGGCTACCTTCACACATTAAAGACATCCTGCTCGCACCGCGCACAAGCTCTTGTACGGGAGAAACTAGATCGCTATGCATATATATTGCACTGGTACAAAGAAAAAGAAACTATCCGCGGGCAATGCAATGCAAATGCCACACCCTGGAATTTTCGCCCGTTCCCAGTGTCCGTCCTATAAAAGTCAATCTACGTTGCGCGTGCGACTCGCACATGCAGCGGCACATGGGTGTCGGCCTCATTGTCTGCCTTTTGCATATAGCTGCGCCCGGAAGAATGGCTATTGCTGTCGCGAGTATATAGCAGCTTGCAGGTGACTCGAAAGAGAGAGAGAGAGAGAGAGAGAGAGAGAGAGAGAGAGGGAGAGAGGAGAGAGAGAGAGAGAGAGAGAGAGAGAGAGAGAGAGAGCGAGAGGAGAGAGAGAGAGAGAGAGAGAGAGGAGAGTGAGAGAGAGAGAGAGAGAGAGAGAGAGAGAGAGAGAGAGAGGAGAGGAGAGAGAGAGAGAGATGAGAGGAGAGATAGAGAGAGATAGGATGTAGAGAGAGAGAGAGATGAGAGAGCGAGGACGAGAGAGAGAGAGAGAGAGAGAGAGAGGAAGGAGAGAGAGAGAGAGAGAGCTTTCTAACGCTTCTTGTGCAACCGCGGGAATTATTTTGCGCTTGCCAAACCTTCCCCAAGGGATTGCCTTTTTCCGTGGATCTTGCCGGCAGATCAGCCGTGTGCTCATTGCATGTCCTGTAACCTCTTTCTTTTTCTTTCTGTCGTCCGGGCTGTGCGATTGTCAAAGTGGGGACTCCTTCTTTCTTTCGATTTGGTCTTTTGTATTCTTTTGGATTGCGATACACACACCTGCCCCGGATGATCGCTTATCATTCGAAAGTTTATTACGGGATATGCGACTCCGCGGCATGCACGTTCAGCTGATAAACGCCTCAGCCAGCGAGTGTTTTATGCTTTCGACTTCTGCGACTAGGTGTTTTGATTGCATTATTCTGCCGGTCGCCACAATCATATGCATACGTGCAAACTCTCATTTCCCCGAGTTATTCAATTATCGACACATTTGCCTAATGAATAACGTCGTTATGTTACATAGCCATCCCCGTTCGCAGTTTACAAATTGAGAAAACTTCCAGCTGCGCGCGGAGACAGCGGATCTGTAATTTCATTGCCTGCAGATAAATTGTGCACGCGCGCGCAAACGCCACCTACGCGTGGCAAAGGCTCCGAAAGAGAGAAAGAACAAGAGCAACTGAAAAGTGTACTGTGGCTGCCACGAGGCGTGCGCGTGCAATGTCACACGCAGGAAAAGGCGGCTGTTGCTTCGGCTGTTACCATTGGAGGTCGTTTCTCCGGTGGACCAGGCGGCATGAATGTCCGAGCAGGTTTATCACTCATAACGCGCGTCGAGTACTGCCCCGCACACCTTTCGCAATGTGCCTCGCGGGCTGCCTTACGAGTATTATTGGGCTTCATGCTTACTCATAAGGAAACACTGACAATCAAGACCTTTCTTTCAGTTCTGACCGCACTCGTCACAATTATAGGTATCATGAAAACTTCGGCGTGGAACTAATGACTATGTTGACATTGTGATGCCATATGACGAAATATTTCTTTCCACGATCCGAGTCAAATGAGTTTCCTTTTTCCAAAGTGTCAACTAGTCATTTATTGAAAAAAAATGGACGGTAATCACATATGTGACAATATTAAATAATCAAAATTTATTAAAGTTGAAAAAACACCACGTTATTAACTGATTGAATTTCATGATCGCAATTTCGAAATTGCACACATTAAACGAGCACAAATCTGGCCAAATCAAAAGTACTCTAGCCAATTAAATTAATCAAAACAAGTTTTTTTCAAAATTTTGTATAATGCTGTAGTAGATAATCATCTTGATGGGCTATTGAATTCGGTATATTCAATTACTTTCCGCCAATCATGTGATTAAGATCAATTCCGAAAGTTTCCACCTACAAAAGTTTCTCTTTCTAGGTTCGACGTCTGAACACATAAATAGCATGTGCGTGATGTTGATATTTTTTCTAATTCAATGCCAATTTCGAAGGAATATTAGATGAACTTTTTTTTTCTCGTTCCATCGCTCCCTTCGGATAGATCATCATGGTTGATGAACTTCCTGTCTTTCGCGTCGGCTGGAATGATTTATGGTAAATAGAATTTAAATTTGATTGCGATGTCTTAATTAACTTTCACCTCGGCATCGCTAGAGTAAATTACTCTATCGACAAGTTATAAACAATACTGAGAATTGCGCTTCAAGCAGTGATAAATAATTCATAAATGGAAATTGTCGATCATTTGAATTCATGTACACATAACATAATATATACTTCTTCAGTATCGTATAATTAGCGTCAATCTTAGTAATCGATATAATTTAACTTTATTTTATGTAAGAATGTCTCGCCAGCTTATTTAATCATTTAGCATTGCTCAGATATGGTGCAGCTTCTCTCTTTTTTTTGCAGTTGTAAATGCCACTTAATTAATTGCATTGGTACGATTTACAACTATAATAACCATTCGCAGCGTTTTGAACTCGTCAATCTTTGCCTAACCACGCTTAATAACGTATACGAGGAAATATGAATTTTCTGAAGTTTCCACGTATAAGAATTATATACGAAAACATAAAATGCTACAAAATTACCAATGAGTTATCAAATAGCTGAAGTTAAAACAAATCCAAGTAAAGTACAGAGCCGGATCAATGCACGTACGAAACTAATAAAGTATTTAATACACGCTAGATACGCAACTTTCTCAACTCAAAATACTTTGTTTTGTCAAGCAACAGAGCCTTCAATTTCCGCATTCGAATCTCACTTTGATCAATGATTGGCTCGAGACCTTGACATTTCTATTTCTATTTTATATATTTTATATTATTGATTTTCTATTTCGCGAAGGGAAGAAAAACTGGCGTCGAATTTGGACAGCCGAAGAAATCAATTTCCACATATATTACTCGAGAGCCTGCTCGCGAGACACGATGTCTTCGCGCACTATCAGAAAAATCCCAAGCTCATCGGCTATTTGCACGACAGTTAGCAAACGACAACGCGAAAGAACAAATAACTCTCTCGAGAGGAGAGAAAGAGAGAGAGAGAGAGAGAGAGAGAGAGAGAGAGAGAGATACCGAACAGCTATCCGCTTCCTTATTACGACAAGCAAGCCGAGCGCCCTGAATCACACTGTTCAAACATAATCTGCATAACCGCGTTCATAAATAATTCATGCATCGGCGCGCATTTATAGACCGCATCTCATTAAAAATCGTTCCATCAGCCGCCTCACAGCATCCCGCGATATTGCAGTGACGCTTGGTTGCGCTCTTGAGCTGGACCGCGCGCGCGCGGTCAGTGACGCCTTTCGGTTGCTCCGACTTTTTACCTACATTTAGTTATGCAGCACGTGCAGACGCGCGTATCACGCTAATGTCATTCTGGGCATTTTCTTGCAAGGCGTGGTGGAGCCGTCGCCGCTGACACAATCGTGCTTTCGTACACGCCTTGACAAATAACACTTTCATCCACTTATCATTCACAGGCGCCACGTCCGCGAGCTGCCGCTAAAAATGCTGACTTAATCGGGTCATCA